TCCTTGTTGACAGTTTTCTTCCAGATTTTCTAGACTGCTCAGATCATATGGAATCTAAGTCACCCACAAACCGACCATCTGTCTAAGGAGACTTCTTTCATATCAAATGAAAGAACAATAGAGAAAGACGAGATCAGTGTTATCTACAAAACAAACTGCAGTAACGGTCCAGAACACTATATCGAGCAATCTGGAAGAAAACTGTCAACAAGGATCAGTGAACATCAATCGGCAGTCAGGAGGCATGACCCCATATCAATAATTTCCCTCCACGAAGATCAAGAACGAAATCAATTTGACTTTCAGTCAGTGAAAGTCATCCACGAAGCCCGGTCGAAACACGCCAGAAAATCTTTCGAGGTTTGACACTCTTCAATCAGATCGATTATTTTCAACAAATTTCAAACACGCATCAATGAGCATCACAGCTATTGTCTATCAGAACAGAGAAAGGAACTTGGGAGAAGAACACAAACGAACGGGTACAAGCAGAATGTTACTACTGCACACGCACTGATGATGTCACCTCGATTGTTGATGTTGCAAATGGCCAAACTCAGCGAACAGGCGAAATGGAATTCAGTTCACCCGAGCTACGAGAGCCGATTTCCGATACTTTGCCAATATTTGGATTGTAGAGAGGTTGTTAGGTTTTTCTCATCGACCCGTAAACATCTAAGCTATTCAGGTAACTAACTTGAACAGATGTCTCGTTTGGCAATGAAGAGAATCGCATATAAGAATGAGGCTTTCAGGATATTGCTGTCTGGACTCAAGGGGAATCAGGTGAACATGCATGATTGATGGTTATCTGGATGGAATACATGTACTCCAAGTACGTGTACATCACACGTTCAATCTGTATGATCATTCCACAATTCCTAATACCGTTTATCATTTTTCTTTTGATCTATCGTTTTCAGCTCACATTTGTCGTGTAGAGTTGTGGAGGTGATATAGGTGGTTGTTTTGTATTTTACCCGTTAAAAAGCACCCACGATTTCGCTGTACTAGGGAAACGTGATCCTAATGATTTAAACGAATCGGTGTCCTTCTCTGTGGATATTTCTAAACGGTAAACATAGAAATAACCTATGGACTGAGCATTCATGGTTCATGGTGGTACTGATCATCGTGTATATTCAGCTCACATCCTCTCTCTGCTCATATTATCGCCGGCATTGTCACTGCTCCCACCGTTTTTTGTGCTAAAGAACTGTTCACGATCCCCTCCCCCCCATCTCTTTGTGCTCCCAATCCATTTTATCCTCAGGTCTATTGAAAGAATCCAAGGGACGTGCCAGTGTGGACACTGAATTTCAAAAACACATGACAGAATGGGAACTGGAGCGCGTTCAACTACTGGAACGTAAGTCAAACAGTATGCACTCACTAATCATCTGTGTTTCTCATAGATTGCACTGGTCCGTTTGTATGCTTATGTGCGTTTCTCAGTAAATTTGAGACAAAAATCCCATGCCAAGAACATGATGCGAGATTCGCAATGGATTGGCGCAAGCAGACATGTCACACAGTTGAATCAACCTCTTTCAGGCGAATAGCCATCATTCAAGTAGCTCAGGGAATAGGTGTTCTGGTTTCCAGTCCGGGCTTATAATTCACGTCCTGAATGGGACAAGAAAATGGGAGCAATACTCAACAAGCACAAAAGTGTCTCTTCGGTTTTGGGTGAATCTTACATATCAACGAAGGCTTAGTGGCTAGTTATCTGTTCCCCTTTTCTATTTCTACTACGTGCATACAATGTAGAGCGACGAGAAAGTCCCAGTGCGCAATGCGTTCAATCGCTTAGTTTACCAAAAGCCTCGCAGGATGAAAAAGAAAATTGTTTTTAAGTAAAACTAGAAGAGTATGACCAGACTTGATATTGGTCATCAGTTTCGTGTGTTCGTTTGAAGTAACTCGAAGTCATATAGAGCCCGACTGGGTTTTTATTATTCACTGGTGTCGGAATTTCGACAACAGTCATCATAGTGAGTTGCACTCAGAAGACGGGTTGAAGGCTCGAGAGTCCTGCAAATTCAAAACTGGAGGTCAGGGATATCTGTGTGCAACAGGAGTGACCAGTTAACGTCACTTGAAGGAAAGGGTATCCGCAGTTCGTGAGGTAAAATTCTTGCCAAAGGGTACAGTCCAGGGTACCTGGAATACAGAGAAAAACGGGCACTATCATTCTTTATAATGCGATTACGGCACATTGGATACCAAAAGTAAAATATGGCGCCCGAATCGTAATCATTAGAATACAGTCTGTTGTGATTCACTCGTTAACTAAGATCAGAGCTGTAACCCCTAGAGCTTACGTTTTCTTTATGATGCGACTGCGAACGGTTTTCATCACGTTCCTTGTTGGGGTGAACTAAAGCGCGGATGAACTGCATAGTCACGAAAAACTGACCGCTATCCCAACCAAATCCCGAGGTGTAGTATTAAACTAATAGCAAACCGTATCTCTTCCGTCCTAAGAATCCGTCACGAGTTTTGCAGCGTTGATGTAATGCATCAATTAAAGTAAACACTTTTTTGAACTGCACATTTCCGTCCGCCTCGTTGATAAAGGATTCTCACTTCACCGTTTAGTCACGTGATGTGAAATCCCCAGGTCTATTCGGATGCTGCTTGATTACGATTAAGTAATTTCACGGGGATGGAGGGCCGAGATCCAGAGAAAATTTCTTGTTTTTCATTTGTAAACGCACAACCTGGCCTTTAGCATAATTTAAAGCTTGAATCCATATAACACTTGGCTGATAGCGCCCTCCTACCGCCGAAGTAACTGCATAGTATAGGTCTTCCACTTACTGTCTTATAACTTGTCTGCAGCCCACCGTTGTCGTCCTAATTCTCTTAGTGTTTATTTTCCACACCAGCTTTCTATTAACCCGTCCTCTGCCTAAATTGAAATTTTGCTTACTGTCGGGTTTTCATTTCCTTATCCGTAGTCTACCAACACTATTTTGTTTTTTAACCTAACTTGCCTCTTCGACTTGTTTTTGGAACCGCGTTAAATCACACATTCTATCCCCGGAGGTTCCTATTGTCGTTTCTTTTTTTCTTTCAAACAGAAATACGAACAGATTCCGAGTTACACAAAACCAAGGAGCAGGAATCTCAGAGATTGATCGTCGATCTTCAGGCGGAACGGAAGAAATTGATGGACTGTGAGTCTTGTCTCTTTTTCCACTCTATTTTCCCCTCCTGTCGTCTCTTATTTCTTCCAATTTTCCTAAGCAAATAAAGCGATTCTTGTAGGCTCTTTGTGTATCTCGGATCTGTTACAACATAGCCAATCATCGTTCAGTGATGTACAATGAAACTAAATTTACTGACCCCATTTTGAGCAGATGGTTGATCTCCATAGACTACTTCGGTTGAAGCATGTGGTACGCATGTCATCAAATTGCCACGATGCATGTTCGCCTACGTAGGCTATACGTGGAAACAGTAAACGGTGATCAAAGTAAGACCTGGTAAGAGGGTATGAAACCATGACCAGGAGACTTGCTCACGTGGGTCGCATAAGGCTTCCTGGATGGGAGGACCTAACGATCAGCGTAACCGATTGTTAAAGAAATTAAGTGAAATNTGAAATGGTTGAGCGTCGTAAATAGTGGTGTTCGTACATCTACTCAATGTCCTTTTAACATTAGTCTTCATGAATTCCCCATTTTCACTTTGACACTGATTTGAGCATTTCAATATTCCCTTCACCTTTAACTTAGTCTACAGGAATTCTCCACCTTCTCTTCGAAACCGCTATCAGCTTTCTAATCTTCCTTATACGTCTTCATCCAAGGGAGCAGCCAAGAGACAGCATCCCAAACCGGCCAACGAACGTGCATTGTTAATGACTATGAAATCTGAACTGAACTGAACTTTACTGATCATAACNCTCGCTGTCTCACACACAGTACAAATAGTCTAGGCACATACACAGACGCCGTGTAAAGCATTCTGATCTGATAGACAATTATAACGTGAATGCCAGTACTGTCTGCTCGCCTCCTGAAACCATTTACAGGGTCTTTCTGACCCCAATCCGAATAATCAAACATTCATCTTACACAACAAAATATCTCGTCTATGCTAACAACGTTTCACTCCGGCCTACTACCATGCGCAATCATTCGATCCGCATGCGTTGCCTCCCTTACTGTTCTGTCGTCGTTCTCCATGCAGTTAAGACAATCAACTTCACTCACTTCTTGATCATCTCGTGTGGATCTTTCAGCGTTGCTTCCTACTCTGAATGCGCGAAACGCATACCGAATGAACCAAAATAATTTGTTTCTCTTTCAGGTGCGTTTCGCTCATTCCCCATAACTTCAAATATACAGACTATGTCGTCATAGTATTCTAAATCGCATGGCTTTTCTCGGGCTGCCCATTCAATACGAAGCTTTTGGAAACCACAAGATGCGGTTTCCAGTATTTTGGTTGTGGCAATAAGGGTATCCTTAACAAACACCTTTGCCGGTCTCGAACGCGCTGCTTAGCTCACTGTATGACCTTAATGGACCTAAATTTGGAAAATACAGTGACTTCATTAGGGTAACCTACTTCTGGGTTATTCGTTTGATGCGAAGGGAATCGAAGAGAAACTTCAGGTCAACCGAGACACAAGCCCATTTGGTGTCAAGGAACACTGCAATCGTTCGTCGAAATTGTGTTTACCTGAATTCGATGTGGTGGGTTTACCCCTGGCAAGGGTTCTCCGTACAAAACGCCACATATATCTGTGGACAGCGCTGTGAGGTGGCGAGTATGGCCCGCCACTGAATAAGGTCATTGCTCCTTGTCAAGATCCATTGCTCGACAAGGCTTTCCAGAAGAGGCCAGAAGAGGCGAATGAACCAACTACTGGCGACCGGCTCATCTGGAATATCGCTGCTGCCTTGCAGTCCGCGCTTGGTTGCGCAAAGGCTAGAGTGCACCCTCGAACAAGGCCTACTGTGGACCGGGCGACCGAGTAGTACAACCACACACACCAACCACACAACCATGAACCGTGAATCTTACTCTTACGACTATGTATTCTGACGCTTCTCCAACATGCACAAAACATTCTAAACCGTAAACATCCTGTCGTCCTCCCAGCCTCCCCCCAGATCATCTCTACCTCCCCAACACTCCTCCATCTCTCTCGGGTTCTTCAGACGATCGTACTAACAGTAGTGCCTCGAGTGGAGGTTCTTCTGCTGTTCACTCTTGTCCTACCTTGACTAGTATCCAAGTCTCACCGAATCCACCATCTGAAGCCCTNTTTAATGTGCGTACTCTGATGCGTATAGGACAACAGGCATGTTTAGCTCGTACGCTCGAAACCCTAACCATCGATGTGTGTTGCATCCAAGAAACTCGCATTCAAGACTCCAGCTCCACTATCCGATTGACGTCCCCGTCAAACCCATCAGTGAAGTTTCACTTACGCCTCTCCGGGGACCCT